CACTTGCCCGGAAAGCGAGAGGTGCGGGTTCTAGTCCCGCCTGGGGTGAAAGTTTTGTTCACAACCCAGCATTCTTGTGAAACTATTGACAGCATTCGATTCAATGAAGAATGGGTTGACCTGGGGGTGGAGGAGAATGCCCAGTAAACACATGTATCTGAAACCAGGCCGTGGTTGATGGTGTTCCATAGCAGCGAAAGGCTTGATTTCTTTCGGAGAATCGAATCAATGAACGCCTTTCATCATGCTGCAGCATTCAACACATAGGGCAACCATATCCATAAGGTGGGGAGGGGGGGGGCTGTCAAACTGTCAGGGAGTGGTTGCCCGTTCAGGGTTGTCAGAGGACCGTTGGTCTGTTCCGAGAGCGTATGGCTACCAAGATTTACTCCTACTCAGATAGGATAAGTTTAAGTTGCATTTCCTTTCCAATTTTCCACCAGTGGCACTTTATTAGGATAAAGCCAGCAGTGTGCCTTTTTGAAGGGTTACGTTGATGTTTGTTTAATGTTTGCTTCGCCTCATTCAGACTGGACAGAGTCAACAGCACCCGGCACCTTGACCAGTGTGGCCCAGTGTTATCATAGTCCAGTGCTTTGCTCTCACTTCATTTCAGCACTTTCAAAACTTGTCACAGAACTGCACCAAAAGGCAGGTGTTACGATGGGTGACCGATAGTGGCGGGGCTAACGCATAAGCTGCTTTGAATTCGAAGCGATAACTTTCTACTGACGCAATCACCACAGCGAAGGAAAGGAACAACACAAGCTTATCAGAACTTGCAGCAACCCTCGGACTGCTGCCAACACCTCACACTACGACTGAAATATCTGAATGACTGCTTTGGCCGATGAAAGGGAGCTATGGTTGAAGGAACCGTCTTCAGTACGGTTGTTTACTGTTGGTTCAGGTCGGAACTTAAGGGCTCCGCTATTATGTCACTGTTCCGCAGTCGGACAAACAGCCACCATTGATCTCTCACCAGACGACGCTGCCACAATTGGTGGGATTGCTAAGAGGAAATTCATGAAATTAGGTGGAAATCGGGCTTTCACACTCTAGCCTGTCGCAAACAAGAGCCCAAATAAATATCGTTCATGAATGTTTCCGCAAGTGAGGGCAACTCGCACCAGGAAGGTGCTCTTGGGAAGTGGGGCGCTCTTCAAATGTTTTTTTCTGTATATTGTGGGAGCACGCGCGTGAACATAAACCTGACTTATTTTTTCTTGGCAGCTTTGCTAATGCCAAAAAGAATATGGGGAAACCATGGCTCCCGTTCGGTCCCGCTGAAGACGAAATTTTTGCATTTCTTTTTCTTGAGCTCATATATTGCCTATATTTTTCCCTGAATGGAAACCCCGACATTCAAGTACTCTACGCTATAAATATTGTAATCTATGGCTGGGCACTTGCATGTGAGAAGGTATAAAAAATGTAACTTTCAACTGCTAAGGGATCTTTGCTGCTCTTTTTCTGGCAATACCTGGCCGCTCGGAAAAATTATCATCAGT